AGCTTATCACTTGCACTTTACCTCGTGTATATACTGCAATTTCTCTATTGTATTATCTTCATTATTTATATCATCATGCACTTTGGTCCACGTAGCCTGCAATTCTGTGTCAGAAGGCAGAAGCCGATCTTGTGTGTCAGAACCGTTATTTTGAATTAATGATTGATATTCGTCATTAATTGTTTGTCTTGCAACTGCCATTAGCTCATCCGGAAATTCTTCTATTGGCGGGGCTGAGTCACTGCCTGTAATTTTGCTGCCGGCTACTGGATACTTGACAAGATCATTGCTTAATAACTTGCTCATTTCCTCACATATCATTAATTCTATATCATTCATTCCTGCTGATTCATCAGTAGATGTCTCCCATAAGGCACGTGAATTGACAGTAGCAGGTCGCGGGAGATTGCGCTGCACGGCCAGAGATCTCCGTGCAAGACGAGCTCGCTCTGCCGATTTCATAAACAAGTTAATTAGTTATGCGCGCCCGCCTATGACTTTTAAAACCTTAACAAACGCTACGTACCTTCGGCAGCTTGCAGTTCCCTCAATTTACGGTCCCGATCGCTAGCATCCTCCTCGACGCCTTGCATGTCGTCCGCGTCCTCTGTAGTTTCCTCAACTTCAGGTAGTATAATTTCAAAATCATTTTTCGGCTTTGGCAAACTCAACAATCCCGCCTTTAGTTGCTTGATAGCTGCAGCGCTTGCTAATGTCAAAAGTAAATAATAAATACTTTATAACCACATTGAGACAAACGAAACCATTTCTAACGTCTCGTACCTGGCCCAGGCGTACGGGAAGGTGTTCTGAGTGTCATGACTGTGCCTGGTGTTTTCGGTGTTGTTGGCGCACCACCAGTCCTTACAGTTCTCGGTGTTCGCAGTGGTAATGTTGTTGCAGGTGTGTAGTCGCCAAGTGAAGTTGAGCCTTCATTTTCACCAACAACAGCTTTTGCGGTTTCTCCAGCAAAACCAATTTTAACAATCTATGACGGTAGTTTGCACGAAATATAAATCAGAAAAGGATACGCATGTAGTAGCTAATAATATAACTAGAGTTAAATCCAAACCTGTTCCAATTCATCTTCTCCAACTTGAGGAGCTGGCAAGACAAGTTTCCTCCGTTTGCTTATTTGTTCGGCTTGTTTGATTTTATTAAGCTGTGCATTCCTGGCAGGCACAAAATTAATTGCCCCACCCTCTCTGTCCTCTTTTCCCACTTTTTGTCGTTTTCGTCTTTTTTCATCGGCAATTTCTGCACGACGCTTTCCTTCCAACTTTTGTAATGCAACGTTTGTCATTGCTGATTCAGCAGGACGATTCCTCTCTGCAGAAGTATCGTAAAACCCAAGAGCTGGTCTCTTTTCAAAGGGTATATCGGCATTATAATCCATTCCTTTCTTCTTTTTCTTGGTCTTCAGTCTATTTGGACAGAAAAGTGTTTGGATAGTACACATCGTCGACGAGCGATAGGAAAAAGCGAAACAAATAAACATGTACGTACTCGATGCCTGCCGCTTTCAATTCTCTCCTCTTTTGCAGCGAGGCCAATCGCCGTGCTTCTTCCAACTGTTTTTCCCTGGCTTTACGCTTGGCCTTTTTACCTTGTGTATTTGCCAAGCGAGCTCGAGCCTCTGAAAGCATTTCCTTTTCTATAAGCAAACGAAAAAAAAAGTAAGTGCCTTGATACTCTCACTTAGAACAGCACAATGCTACCAATGGACCAGACTCTGCAAATACCGTCTTC